GGGGAGGGGTGGAAATGTACACAAGGGAAGAAAGTTCCAGGGTGGGGGGATTGTTTTAAACAGCATGATCAGGGTGGCCTCCTTAAGAAGGTGATAGTTTAGCAAAGACCTGAAGGAGTGGGCCCTGATGGTATCTGGGGGAAAAATGTTCCCGGCAGAGGGAACAGCAAGTGCAAAGGCCCCCAGGTGGGAGTGTATTTGTCTTATTTGGTGGAAAGCAAGGCCAATGTTGCTGAATCAAAGAGAAGGGGAGAAAAAGGTGAGGGGTATATTGCACAGGGCCTCTGTAGGGCATTGTGATAACTTTAAAGTTGTCTTGCTTGAGGAGGCTGCCTCAGGGCCTTTGCATATCATAACCCCTCTGCTTGGAATGCTTTTCAGTCTATTCTTTGCCTAATTACCACACCCTTTAGATCTGAGATCAAATATTACTCCTTCCACAAAGCCCTCCCTCATTTCTTAAGCCCATGGCTTATAACACTCATCACAGTCCACAATTACATGGGTATTTGTATTGTTATTTAATTATTGGCTGTCATTTCCTGTGGGTATGAGCCCGGTGAGGGCAGGGGCCAGGGCTGTCTTGGTCACTACTGTACTGTACTTTGTGTGCATGGCTGGGCAGTGACTGGGTACAGAGGAGGTCCTTGGCACATATTTTAAATGAAGAGCTAACATTCTTCAAGCACTCACTGTGTGTCAAGCTCTGTGCTAAATCCTTTATGTATGAGTATGTGATCTAATCAGTGCCCCTCACTGCAGTGTCAGCCCCACGAAGGCAAGGAGTTTCATCCTTCCTGTTCATCGCTGTGTCCCAAGCACCTAGCACAGTGCCAGGCACACAGTAGGGACTCGACAAATATGTTTTGAATGAGTAAATTCTCATAAATGAGGTAGGTATGAGTACCCCTGTTTCCCAAGTAACAACAGCTCACTTAACTGAGCGCTCACCAGTACTAGTTATTGCTCAATGTACTTTACATGGATTCACTCATTTATTCCTCACAACAGCCCTGGGAGGGAGGTACTGTTATCAGCCCATTTTATAGATGAGGGGACTGAGGCACAGAGAGGTGAAGTTACCTGCCCCAGGTCACACAGCAAATAAATACTACAGCAATACCTGGATTCAAACCAGGAGAGTGTCTGGCTCCAGACTCGGACTCTTAACCATGGCTGTAAACATCCCAGAGAGTTTCAGAGAGCAGAACTTGCCCAAGATTTCACTTCTGTTGGAATCCAGGCAGTCCTGCCTCACCTCCCATGCTTTTAAATTGGGAAGGGAAAAT